TGTGTGTGTGTGTGTGTGTGTGTGTGTGTGTGTGAGACATGTAGATGGAGGGAAGGAGGGTGTACTGAGTGACCGGTGCTTTTGGAAACTAGTACAATATAAATATAATAATTCATGATACTCTGTTTCTGTCACATTCTGTACAATTTATCCTGTGTCTCAATATCACCATGGATTCATAGGCTGTGTTTACACAGCCCATTAACTATGTCAGGTCATCTCTCCTGGTCATTTGTATAACATGCTAAACTTAGCATTAAATTGGTTAAACTTACCACATTGTGTGAATCTGGTACCCAGGTTTAAATATGTTATGAAAAAATATAACATGTGTAACATGTTTAACATGTTTTAACTCAGATAATGAAACTCATGGCAGCAACTAGCCACCTTTGGCCAATCTCAAAAAGCTAAGTAGGGTCAGACTCAGTTAGGACTTGCATGAGTGACCAGTAGGAAATATCAGGGCTGTAGGCTGGATTGAGGTTGAAAGAACATTCTAGGTAAAGGCAATGGCAAACCACTTCTATATAATGTGAAGAAAACACCTGGATGTTTCTGTGAAGTCCTCAGGACTTAAGCCTGTCTCAAAGGAAACTTTACTTCCCGCTAATATGTTTAACATATGGAAGAGATCTGGAAGCTCCTTCAACCCAAGGATCTGCAGTGCAGTATTTTCCCAGACAATTGACCATCCCTGCACACTTCCCTTGACACCTACAGGAAGTTGAACCTCTTAATCTTTTAAAAAAAATCTATTTGCTTCAAAGCAAGATTTTGCCTCCAGCCCTTCCCATCTCCATTTCTCTGAAAGTCATTCTAAAGCAGGAGCAAGGAACCTCCTTCAGACAATGCTCCAAATGTTGCTGAAATAGAACTCCCAGGATCTCCTTTGGTTTTGCTGGCAGACAGAAGGGCTGATGAATCTTGTTCAGCAACATCTGGAGGTCCACAGGTTCCTCCCCATGTTCTAAAGCAGAGGAACTAATGTGTAATCCCAGCCTATGGAACCATAACTGATCATGTCCAGGCAGTAGAACAAGAATAAAAGAAAAGAAGAAGGGCCCTGTATCACTCAGCAAACTAGTGAGGAAGTAGGGAAGGGATTGCAGGGGTTTGGAAGAATCGTGAATGTCATAAAGGTGTGGAAGTCGGGATTGGACTAGGAAAGGCAGTCGGAATGAAGGGAAGGAGTTTTTAAGAATAGCCAGGGTGAGCATGTTGGGTTCACACAACACATCTAACCAGGAGTTAATAGCTGCATACACACAAATTTTTAAACTTGGTTAGAGTTTTTGTGACTGAGTGGGTTATGCAAATCCAACACATTTACTTAATTCATGATTCCGTATATAGTATGAACCCAGGAAATGGGTTAACTGTGTGAACAGCCTGCAAGTCAACAGAGAAAGCAGTGAGATGAACCAGAGAAGGCACCTGCATGAAGATCTCACAGCATGGAAGATGTCTAGTGACAAAGAAAGGAGAAAATTTCCAACTTTTTGTGATTTTGTTTTCCCATCCAGACAGGTCAATCAACCTATGGTAGCCACCCAGACACTTTTCTGAAGTTTGAAAGACTGGAGATGCTTGAGTCAGTGCCAGCTCCTGTCCAGTGCAGAATCTACAGCAGATGATACAGCTACAGCATTTGGGAGATTCGGTTGCCCCAATTTCTGCTTTAAGACTTCTTTCTCTAAACAATCTATTCCCCTGCCTAGCACTGTCATACATAGATGGCTTTCCTACTGATTACTCAGAGCCTGCTATCCTACAATTCCTAACCATTAGTCCATCAGACATTTCTTCTACCCATACCTTGTTTCCCTGCAAATGTTCATCATTTGGTTGGATGAATCTTGGTAACCTTTTCATTATATCTGAACCAATAGGAAGGCAGTACATATCCTAGGATCGCAGAACTAAGTGTGTACTTGGTGGCAACCTCCTGACTCAATAAGGTGTCTCCAGCTTCCTGAAAGCATCTGCTCCTCTCTGGGTTGGTGGTTAAATTCCTCCCATCCACTCCATATTCCTGAGCATTTGTTTTCCTTAATGTTCTCTGGAGGAGAAACCGTAGTCCATCCAAAAGTGGGACAGGGAGATTTTGCATATAAAGAGCCAGCTGTCAGTTGTAGGGTTCTACTGGCGCAGAACATCTCCTAATTCTCTTGTTCTATGTGCTGGATTCTTTCATTCTCTGAACCATTGCTATAGCATCGCTATCCTTCCTGGTTAGCAACAGCCAATGCTATAGGCAAGCATGGCATAATGATTTGATGGAGTACATTGTACTTAACTTGGTTAATGAACAGGTGAGACTAAACACATTTTTACTGCAGCCAGTTACTTGAAAAACATGACCATTTTGCGAGCCAGTTGGGAGGAGTGGTTCAGATGTCGGACTAGGACTTGGGACATCAAAGTTCAAGTTCACCTCCCCCATGGAAGTGCTTTGGCCAATAATTCTCTTTCAGGGTTGTTGTTCTGGGGAAGATTGAAAGAGGGAGTGTAGTCTAAGCACCCTGGAGCTTCTGGAGAAAAGGTGGGAAATAATACATATTGCAAATAATCAATGAAGACTCTGTCCCTGAGCCCACAACCTGCTACAATCTGCTTCTCTCTCTCCTGAGCTCCACAAATGACTCCTTAGTGTGGGTGGGACCTTTTGTCCTTTTAAGGTTAATTGCGACACTGAAAGTAGGCAGCTGTAGACAGACTAGCTAATCCTCTCCCCACACTTAGAAAAAAAGAGTCCCATTTTGTGTGCAGGAATTTGGAAGAGGGTGACAGCTGGGGAGAGACAGATTTATGTCCTAAAGGGTCCCTCTTTCTTCTTTCACAGGATCATCAGCACAGAGACTTTAAGAAATTCAGTCTGAGAGCCATAAAGGGTGACAGGGCTGAGTTATATTTGCTCCCCTCGATACCCATGTGTGAATTCCATTAGCGTAAATGGGATATAAATGTGTCTATCGCAAGGGTAAGATAGACTCACGAGAAAAGATGAACAGGTATCTGATCCATCTAGAATATGCAGCATTGGAACATGGTCTTTGCACGCTGGGGGCAGGGCGGGGGGAAGAGAAATAGATAATTTTGTGCTTTGGAAGCAAGTTTACTAATACGTTTTGTTTAACCCAGACGCTGCATTCGGCTTGGATGATTATTTGTTGCGAAGCTGAAATGCATTGTTTCAGCTTGCGCTTGGGAGGCTCAGCTTAAAATGAACAGAAACAAGACCTTTTCCAAAGGCATTTATTAGTTAGCAAGATTCTTAATGGGCAAAGATTTATACACGTGGGAAACTTAAAGGCAATGTATACAAGAGGATCCTTTCCAGCAGCACGAGGTGCCTCATGGTTTTTACTGCAATATACTTATACAATTCATTTAGACTGCTAATTTAGACTTAGACCTGGGCTGGGCTGGTTTGGGCAGCCTGATTGCAGAATTTTGGTAGAAAAGTAGATTTATATTCATTCAGCTTTTATCATCCATGTGCATCTTAAACCAGTGTTTCTCAACCTTGGCAACTTTAAGATGTGTGGACTTCAACTCCCAGAATTCCCCAGCCAGCATCTAATTCAGTGGGGGCTTCTAATTCAGATGATTACATGTGGTATGTGAAGTCCACACATCATAAAGTTGCCAAGATTGA